ACTCTAAAATATGCTTCAAGTAAAAATGTTCTTGTTGAAAAAAATAACTTTAAGAGGCTACTCATTTAAAATAAACTATATCAGGGGCATCCGGGTGGCTCAGTCAGTTAAGTGTCCTATTCTTGATCTCAGCTCAGGTCTTGATCTCAGGGTTGTAAGTTCAAGCCCTGCATTGGCTCTGTGCTGAGCATGAAGCCTATTTGATAAATAAAAAAAATAAACAAAACAAAGCAAGACAAAATAAAGCATATCAGAGGGGAGATGGGTGAGAGCATGGGTGCAACAAGTGAAAGGGATTAAGAGAACATTTATGATGATGAGTTCTGAGTAATGATGTATAGAATTGTTGAATCACTATGTTGTACACATAATATAACTAATACACTAATTAAAACTAGTATAACACCGTATGCCAGCTATACTAAATTAAAATTTAAAAATAATAAAAAAAATTCTGCTTTAAACATAAAAGTTCTCTTAAAAAAGTCTTCAGGGGACACTTGGCTGGCTCAATGTAGAGCCTCAAGCTCCCCACCTATGCCAAACAAACTCCTCAAGCTCCCCACCTATGCCAAAACACTTCAAAATCTTATACACGGCAGGGGCACCTGGGTGATTCAGTCAGTTAAATGTTCTACTCTTGACTTTGGCTCAGGTCATGATCTCACAATTCGTGGGATCAAGCCCCATATCAGGCCCTAGGGTTCTCTCTCTCTCTCTCTCCCTCTCTCTCTGTCCCTTCCTGCGTGTGCTCTCTCTCTCTCTCTCTCAAAATAAATAAACAATAAAAATAACTTATACATGGTAAAAAATAATCCCATACAAGGTAAAAATAACCCCAAAATATATAAAGGATTTTTAATCCTTTAGAGTTCTCAGACTCTGTATTTTTTTCCCTTTCATTCTACACTTACATACAGACATTTTCAGTTGAAAAGATTTCATTAGGAGCCTTTATTTTAAAGGAGAACATGGTAGGGGGGTACCTGGGTGGCTCAGTCAGTTGAGCATCCAACTTCAGCTCAGGGCATGATCTGGTGGTTCGTGAG